ATAAGAAAAAATAGAGGCGCAAGAGAATCCAGCATACGGACAGACAAGGATAGAAACCAGCAGGTACACAGAAAAGACGACGGGTAAAGGATCTCAGACCCCAAGGAAGATAAAAAAACAAACGCGACCATTCCCAAAATAGCCACTCGAAAACTAGAAGATCCCCCAAGCTGCAAGAAATCGATAGAGTCGTCCTGATGTGTCACTGTGTGCGTCATATCGATGTGGATAACAAGCACGGTCGATCCGTCGAAGCGATACACTCGTTCCTATCACGCTGGAAGGCTTGCACGGAGCTCTGTGCCGGCACACAGAAGAGCCGTGCGGCAAGAAGAGCTCGATGGGGAGCGAGAACTGCCAGAGGTGCTCACCCAGGTTTCGGAAGTCCGCCTTGATGCGGTCAGTCCCCCCCAGGTTTGACCGCGCAGCTCGCAAGACTCGTCGAACACTCGTAGCCTTTCTGCGCCTCTGACTCTGCAAGCTATGCGGGAAGAGCAGTTTATTCGCAATATATCGACGAGTTCGAGAGAGCCACAGGCTTTCGCTCGGGAGGGATTGAGTGCGTCGCGACGGACTTCAGGCTACACCTGAAAATCTGACGGTTCTCGCTCCCCATCGAGCTCTTCTTGCCGCACGGCTCTTCTGTGTGCCGGCACAGAGCTCCGTGCAAGCCTTCCAGCGTGATAGGAACGAGTGTATCGCTTCGACGGATCGACCGTGCTTGTTATCCACATCGATGTGACGTACACAGTGACACATCAGGACGACACACATTCTCCCACCCGCCGGGCCGCCAAAACGCTCTCGACGAGAGCGACAAGAAGGCGGCCACACAGCAAGCCGCTCGGTCGATCACGTTGCTCGCTCGATGCCGGCGAGCGCATGGCGCACGCCTTGGACGGTGGCGAAGCCAAAAACACCGGCAGTGGCCGTCCGCTGGCGTGAGCGGCGGCGGTCGAGACCTCACCCTTCGCGCCGACGACCCAACCTCACGCGGAACAACCCAACCCAACCACAACCCAACCCAACACGAAACAACCCAACTCAAAGCACGATTCTCAAGTTGGGCCCTGGGACCCTGACCTGCCACCGCCGGCTAAGGCTCGTTTGAGACAGGAT